AAGGATTGTGAATTCGATTTTATTAGAATCAAAGATTGATTTTCACCACTTACCGATTATGGTGTAGCACAGTACGTATGGATTTCTTCATTCATAGCAGTTGGTATTTTTGAGAGGAGAAAGAAAAAACTTCTAAAAACATTTCATGGATCCAGTAATGTATCTTCCTAAGGAATTTTATGATGTTTTAGAATTCAGTAGAGGTACCTTAACTCAAATTTACGTTCGTTTACTCTGATTTTTTAAGTACGTAAACTGAAACGGAATTTTTGAGATTTTCATTGTTTGAAAGGGAAATATGAGTATAAGTTGGATTGCCAGGCAAAGCATTAAAATCAGATCTTCAAAATTACAGAAATATTTATGAGCATTACAAATATTACAATATTGAAATTTTAACACCAATTTCAGAAAGAAAATTTGTGACAAAACCATGAAAATGATTTTAAATATTAACGTATATCAGACGTAATGTAAATATTATCACTCAGACTAATAATACCTTAAAAATGACACAAAAAGAGGGCATACAGCCTATCTAGGAAATCTAAAATGACAAACTAGAGTTATCTTCCCATTCATGCCGTAAAGTGACTATGGCAAAACTCATTATACTTATGTGCGGCCGTAGTTGTCGCGTGTTCGATATTAGGGTCACGTGACTTTTTGGTACATGTATAAATAGCAGATTACACGTTTGTTTGTCAATCTACTCTCGCTAAGTTTTTAGGATGTCAAAGTGAATGGAGAATACCTTGTGAAAAATGGCTGAAGATGATACACATATGGAATCTTCAATGGATGACTTGGGTTTATTGAATGAAGAAGCAGTTTCCTTATTTAGTTCATCCTTAAACAGGGCTTAAAGAAACAAAATTCGGTTATCGTGAATTCTATTACAGCGCTCATTGAGAAATTGGCCAGTTCTGCGAAGAGCGCTTCGCACGTGCCCGACGCTCCGTTTGAATTCAAACACGAGGGACACAAAATTCAATTTTGTTTCAATCAGGATAGAAATTCAAAGCTGTCAGATTTGGAACATGCAGTTATTGCAAGAAAATGAATTATCGAAAGTTCTCAAGATAGTGACAGAAGAAAAGTCAGCATTGCAGCACAAAAATAAGATTCTTAAGACTGCTGATCGACATGGGTAGGACACGGTCCATGAATATCTGGGTGACCCCCTCGCAGACGATACTGAGGACGCTGCTAAGTTGCGTTATGCTGTTAGCCATGCTGTATGGAAGCGTTCTTACAGGTCAAGGCCATACGATAAACTTTTTTCGTGGCTTTGGCCAATCGTTTAACAACTCAGGATCAAACTTCAGGTTCAACACGGGGCGACAGTCGGAGCTTAAATTCTGGTTACAGAGCTTCCAGACTCCAAGAGATTTTGGACGATGCTTCGATTGTAGGCAGACAGGACACTTCGTCAGGGACTGACCTTACATCAAAGGCCAGTCTATCCCCACCTTATCATCGCCAATCCCAAGTGCAGCAAGCAAGCAGTGAAAGCAATGAAGTAGAGTTTATGTTTGAAGAATGAAGTTATCAGTGTGAATATGATCAAAGTATTATAATGTCAAGAGTAAAATCAAAGTTAAAAGAAAATATTTTGCTTTTTGGAGGTCAGAGTTGAATGCAAATAGTTTCGTTATTAATAGTTAGGTATGGCTATGTTATACCTTTCCTGCAATATCCTCCTATCATATTTATCAAAAACAATAGATCGGCTATAAATTATTCTGAATATGTAGGTTCAGCAATTTTAGAACTTGTATCTAATGGATGTGCCCGAGAGGTTCATGAGCCTCCACATGTTGTTAATCCTCTCACCGTCTCGGTCAATGCGTCCAGTAAAGAACGCCCTGTACTAGATTTGAGAAATGTAAATCAGCACATAGAAAAGCAAAAAGTTAAGATTGAAGGTGTCAAAGAAGCTTTTTCGTATGCCAAAGAAAGCCACTTTATGATTAAATCTGATCTGAAGTCTGGTTACCACCATATAGATATACACCCTGATTTTCAAAAGTTTCTAGGATTTAGTTGGAAATTTGAAGGAAAAGAGAAATAAAAGAGAAATACTTTGAATTTACAGTACTGCCGTTTGGGCTGTCTTCGGCTGGGTATATTTTCACAAAAGTCGTAAGAACCTTAGTTAAGTATTGGAGATCTCACAGTATCCCAGTAGTGGTCTATTTAGATGACGGTTGTGTTTGTTCAAATTCAATACATGTTTGGAGATAGCAACTTTTCTCCGTGAAACTTTAAATAAATCTGGCTTCAAAATCATAAACTGAGAACAGACTTAAGCCAAAATTTCAAATTGATATAACTTCTGAAATAATTTTAATAATCAAACAAAATTTTCATCATTTGTTCGTATTCTGATATTAAACAAACATGCAAATTTAGAAACACATATGTAAATTAATACTCAGGATACTGAGAATCAAGATTTTGACTTAAGTCTATTCTCTGTTTATGGTCTTGGGGCCAGGTTTTCAGATTAATGAAGGAAAAATCTCAGTTTTCTCCCGTTGAAGATATTACTTGGCTAGGTTTTATTTGGAATTGACAAGGCGGGTTATTGGAGGTATCAGTGGAAAATCTTACTAAAGTCCGCTTAGATATTGCTTTTTTTTAAAGGAAATGTAGGACAGGTCAGTGCACGTATGGTGGCTTCTGTCGTAGGCAAGGTCATCGCTTTGACACCGTCGTTAGGGAATTCTGTCAATTTTGGACGAGACATTTAAGTATGGCATTGTGTTTTAGAAGTGATTGGGATAGTGATTTGATTATTGTCACGAGACTGTATTTATAAATTGGATTCTGGCTGACAAATTGTGGGCTTTACCTTCTAGACGAAAATCAAATTGTGTAAATAATTTACCTGAAAAAAAATGTATTTTCTGATGCAAGTTTTTTTTTTTGCAGGGGCTGCTGGATTTCCTATTGAACACGATAGCAAAATTGCGCATTATATGTGGAATGATTTCGAAAAAAAGTCCTACTTGGAGAGAGATTAAAGCAATTTGTGTTATCATTTAAACTGTACATAATTATTTTTCAGGAAAGTCGGTTAAAGTTTACACAGATAATCAAAACGCATTGACAATTTTATGTAAGGGAGCATGAAGTTTGAACTGCATCAGCTAGCTTTGAGTTTGTTTGGTTTGTGTGTGAGAAATTCTATTATACCATTAGAAATTGAATGGATTCCTCGAAATTTGAATGTTTACACAAATCACTTGAGCAAGATATTATTTTGATTTTGATGATTAGGGAGTCTGATTGCAAAAATCACAAAACTGGAGAGAAAAAAAGTTCTTTAGAAAACGGTTTCCTGGGACGGCTGGGTTAAAAGCATTTGCTCAAGACTGGGCAGGAGAAAATTGCTGGATTGTTCCTCCTCCTATTTTAATTTCCAGAGTAGTTTATTATATACAATTTTGTAAAGGATTTGGTACCTTATTTATTCCATTGTATAAGAATGTGGACGATTATCCGATCTGAGTTTTTAATTATTTGATTTATTACAAATTGACAGAGATCTAAACAAGTATTGAGAAGAATGCATGTCAGCGTTTGACAATTTTAAGAACTTTTCGGACATATTTACAGGACAGATGTCACAAAATGTTCTAGCAGTACAAACTCTAAGACCAGTTTTATATACATCTGTTTTACTTTTAACGATGTTAATTTCTACAAAATTTCTACACAATAAACCTGTATACAGATATATGAATAACGAATGTTAACTATTTCTGAGAATCTCAAAAATCCTGCAAAGCCTAATAAACACATACACAATGTTCTGAAATCATATACATTTTCATCCTTCCCAAATGTAGAAACCAGAGTCTTCAAATATTCAGGGTTATTGGCTCTTTTTTAATCAGTGGCTTTGATGTCTCCCAAATTCCCTTCCTTAAAATTTTTTACATGAGCATAGTCGCAAGGATCTACATAACCTACTAGGGTATGAGCGAAACTAATGGCATGAATAGCTGAATGTATTTTGTACTACTTATATATATATATATATATATATATATATATATATATATATATATATATATATATATATATATATATATATATATATATATATATATATATATATAATGAAAGAAGAAATACCATGGGTAATTACATATTACTTTGTGAATTAAGTGACATTTTGTGAGTATTTTCAATTATATTTTATTGCTGATTTTCGATCACGAGAATTGGACTACCTCAAATCATTTATTTATTATCTGTTTTGCTATACATGCATGTTGAGTTCCTTATCAATAACGTCCTCATTTAATCATTCAGCGTCAATGAAAGGATGAAAATCTTATTCATGTATAATTGATGTTGACTTGCCTGAATAATTCTATATTTTGCCCTGCTTTAAGATTACACATTTAGGTTTAATTGGAAGTTTAGTCGCCCGCGAGGCGTAATGGTTAGAACGTTTGCTCTAGAGTCGCGGAGTATGGAGTTGATCCTTACGCTGTGGGTTCGAATACCACTGCGGGACGTGGAGACCGTTCCTTCAGATGACGCCGTATAAACGGAAGTCCCGTGTCGCAGTAGGTGCTGGCGAAAAAGATCCCTCACTGCTCAATGGCCCTGAGTGTAGGTCTAAATCTGCAGCTCTCCAACGGCAAGTGGTGGCGTCTCCATATGAGTAAAAATAATTCCCGAGAGGGACGTTATACAAAAAACAAACAAACAAACAGTAATTTTTTTTTTAAGTTTGAGTGTATGACCTTTGCTACCCTTGAAAAAATAGTTCCTGATTTCTTGTTCTTCTGGAAATTTGTTTATTTGAAACTTTGGACTGAATAAAAGATGGGGATCTTTTGATAATTTGTGTATTTTGAGGTGGTTGGGTTTTTGCCATACCTTGAATCACCAAATATGCCAATGATTGCCAGAATAAGTTTTAAAGCATTTCTTTGCGTTGGAAACTTTTCATATATAAAATGAAATTAATTCATACATTCCAAACAGGCTTAGGCTGCCTCAAACATGGTTTAATTTTATAACACAAGGATTTTGTTGATTTTATCCTTTATTCTTTTTATGCCATTGAGTCTCTGCTCCTGTCACATCTAAAATCCTGAAAAAAATATACTTCAGAATTAATAATTACATTACTTATACAAAATGTATTTTTAACTAATCTGAGCTGAAGGCTCAAGTGAGCTTTTCTGATCGAAGATTGTCTGGCGTCCGTCCGTCGTTTGACGTAAATAAACGTCTCACATTTTCAACTTCTTCTCAAGAGCATTGGGCCAATTTCAACCAAACTTTATAAAGCATCCTTATATAGGTGAAGGGTATTTAAATCTCTTCAAATGAAGGAAGGATAATTAAGAAATAGAGAAAATGTTTATAGAATCTTTAAAAAGTCTTCTCCATAACCACTGGCCAGAAAAAAAAGCTTATGTGAAAGCTTTTAAATTTGTTCAAATCATGACTCCCGGGACAAGGGTAGGGCCACAATAAGCGACAAAAGAGTTATATCTCATTAAGAAAAACAAAACCATGATTAGTCATATCAATATGGAAGCATTCTCCGTTAGTTTGGAATCATATTCGTTCAAATCATGACCCCCGGGGTTAGTGTGGGGCCACAATGGGCATTCAAAGTTATACAAAAGAATATTTAGGAAATTTTTTTTGATGTTAAGTCATATCTTTATGGAAGCATCATCCAGTAGTGTATATTCAAATTTGTTCAAATCATGACACCCAGTGATAAACCTCCTCAAGAAAGCAAAGCCATGATTAGTCATTTATATGGAAACATCCGCAAGTATTGTAGATTTAAACTTGTCCAAAACCAAAGAAAAAAAGAAATAAATTGGAGAAAATCTGTAAAAATCTTTTAAAAACATGATTAGTCATAAATATGGAAGCATTCTCAGTTAGTGTAGATTTATGTTTATGTACTTAGATATTCGAATTTTTCAACACTAAACTGCTTTCTATTTTTCTCTAGTCATAGTGCTCAGGTGAGCGATGTGGCCTAAGAGCCCCTTGTGGCGGTACATATTGTCGTTCTGTACATACTGTCGTCGACGACAACATGTACCTACCTCTACTGCACATATATTGTCGTCGAGACGAGCTTTTTTTCTCTCCTGCATAAAGGACGACAAAATGTACAATCACGAATTGGCACATCTTATTGTCGGCGAAAATATGTACTGTGAACATCTGAACATTTTGTTGCCGATTTATTGAAGAATATTTACTAGATAGTGAATAGCGAGGGACAGATTTACACACATACACACACCCTATCTCACACACAAAGACAGACAAAAGGATAGACAAAGTGTATGACAGATAAATAAGAAAACAAGCTGTATTTATTTAGAATTACTGGCAATACTGGAGAAAAGGTTTTGTTCAGTAAATTGTGTCTAGGATTGGTGTACACCACTATGATATGCCAAGATACTGTAATTCTTTAAATATCTGATAAATCAGCCTATTCTTTTTTGTTGTTGTTAAATATACTTTGAGATTGAATTTTTTTTTGTTCAGTAGTAATGAATAGCAGAAAAAAGAATTTTTTGCGTTATTCTTATACATGTGTCGATATACTAGTAATTGAGGTTTGGGTCGACATTTTTTATTTCACTTGAGCTGAAAGCTCGTGAGCTTTTCTGATCATATTATGTCTGTCATCCATCTGTACATTATCAGCTTCTCTCCTCGAGAACTAATGGGCCAATTTTAACCAAACTTGCCACAAAGCATTCTTGGATAAATGGGAATCAGATTTGTTCAAATGAAGGGTCAAGCCCTCTTTCAAGGGAAGAAATTAAGAATTAGTGGAAAATAGTGACGTCTTTTAAAAATCGTCTTCTCAACAACAGCTGTGCTAAAAAAAATTAAACGTATTTGAAAGCCTCATTATAAAATGAAGATTCTATTTTATTCAGATCACAACCCTCCAGGGTAGGGTGGGGCTACAAAAGGTGATCAAACTTTTATATAGGAATATATAGGAACAGTCTTTTTTTACAACCTTCTTCTCATGAACTACTGGGCCAGAAGAGTTGATACTTCTGCGAAAGCTCCAATACATAGTGTAACTTCAAGTTTGTTTAGATCGTGACCCCAAGTTAGGATGGGCGATCAGAGTTTTACATAGGAATATATTCTTCTCAAGAAACAGGCATATAATTAGTATTGTTTATATGGAAGCATCCTCAGGCACTGTAGATTAAGGTGTTTTTTTTTCAAAATTATAACCCCCGGGGCTAGGGTAAGGCGACAATGGGCGATCAAAGTTTTACATAGAAATATATAATAAATTTCTTTAAAAACCTTCTCAAGAACGGCAAGCTTAAGGCAATGATTAGTCATATTTATATTGAAACATTGCCATGTATTGTCATGCAACATGTGGCGATAGACGACAATATTTGCAGTGGGGGTATAAACATTGTCGCCGGCGACATTATGAACAGGACGACAATATGTACCCTCACAAATAGCATAAGAGATACGGCAGTGTGATTTACACACCATTTACATTCATACAACAACAACAAAAAAAAACCAACAACAAAATCTTTAAGCAACAATATATGTGGGGCGACAATATGTGTAGTGAGGATAGGCACATAATACCACCAGCGACAATATGAACGTGTAACTTTTCAGCCGGCGACAATAAGTATCGATGGACGAAAATATGTGCAGTGAGGGTAGGTACATATTGTCGCTGACGACAATATGTACCGTCACACCCCTTGTTTTTTAAAAAATAATAGAATATCGCAATACTAACAAGGCTGTATAACGTTTCTATGGATAAAAATACACTGCACAGTTGGAAATAACAAGCATATTGTACACGTTTAGAACTTCTTTTATCCCTTTTCTGTTTTTCGTAATATAATGATAATGCCGCGGAAAAATATATACTTTGCGATTCAAGATCTGCTATAAAAACATTACTTTTGTTCCCAAATGTGTTACTTTAAAACTCAAATTGTGGTTCGAACTACTTTTATAGGACCATGATTTTAGCAACTTCAAGCTTCGCTAAAAGATGCTTGCATATATAATTGACAATTTCTAGCTCTATAGTTCTAAATAGGTGATTTTAACCTAATTGTTATGTACACCTTGTTACCAAATTCCAGGCTAAAGGGTCATAATTTAAAAAATTAATTCTACAAAATATAAGGATAATTCAATATGAACTAAACTCTTTGTAGCTTTGCATTTTTGAGAACTTTTTCCTATGCATTTGCAATGTAAAACTTCAACCTCACTTTGCGGCCTCATGGCCAGCCCAAACTTTAGGCTGATCACACCTGACTCTTTACTTCATTAGGATGACTGATTATGAATTTGAAAATTTACAGTCTAGCAGTTCTTGAGATCGAGGATGATTAGTAAACATATTCTATCTTTTTTCTCTCAATTCTTTTTTAGTCGCCCGCGTGGCGCAGTGGTTAGAGCATCTGCTCTAGAGTCACTGATTAAGGAGTTGACCCTTAAGCTTACGTCGCGGGTTCGAATCCCACTGCGGGACGTGGAGACCGGTCCTTCGGATGAGACCGTATAAACCGAGGTCCCGTGTCGCAGTAGGTGCTGGCACGAAAAAGATCCCTCACTACTCAATGGCCCTGAGTGCCGAGTATAGGTCAAAATTTGTAGCCCTCCACCGGCAAGTGGTGGCGTCTCCATATGAGAAAAATTCTCAAGAGGGACGTTAAACAACAAACAAAAAAACAATTCTTTATTATTCCCTATTGGAAAAAGTCTGACCTTTCATTGATAAAAATACATCCTTAAGACTCAAGGATGCTTCGTGGCAAAAATAATCTAAGTGATAAACTCTGGTGATGGTCGTAAATGCATAACGTTTACTCGCAATGGAAGAAAACAGCATTTATCTTATTAGGGAATTTAGTGATCTAAAACATTTTAAAATTTTCTAAACAGACATCCTTTGAATGTAATCTGAAATCTTGCAAAATGTGGAATCACTTTTGCTATAAACAAGTCACGGCGAGTGTGATCGGTCGACAACGGATCTTACTTCCCTAGACACCTAACCCCAATTCTGGGGTTTCTCAGGGGTCTGCGTCTTTGCCCTGTTCAATATTCATTTCCCATATTAGATTAATGGAATTGATCACTGCTCGTTATCTTCATCTTTTATATGAAATAATGAATTATTAGTGTTAAAAGGAAGTTATGTATAAAGTTTTGATATATTCAAGTTCATTCATAATCACGATTAAGTAGATACATGTACATTGCCTCAATGTCGTGTATAAATATCTACATATACATACATATTCACAAAAACTATATTCATATCATTCAAAAAGATTTATCAAAAACTACTTACCTTCACATCTCCCATTCACACATATTTCTCCACGAGGACAATCTCTAAGCTGTGAATAAAAAGAATATCATCAATATCTGGATTTCTACATTAATGATTACTGTGTTTTTTAACAATAACAATATAATTAATTGGGTGACGGAATGTTTTGGTTTTCTTGTAATAAAACAATAAATAAAAATTTGTTTTTGATTTTCAGCAGTTTGTCTTTCTCAATTCTCCATTCTTGGGATATTTAACTTGTGATAAATTTGAAATTTACTTTCAATACAAAGGGCTCACGGCGGGTGTGACAGGACAGCATAGGGATGCTTACTCCTCCTAGGCACGTGATCCCACCTCTTGAATTTCCAAGAGTCCGTGTTTTATGCCCTGTCCACAGATTTGTATTGCTTATAGATTTTTTTTTTTTAGATCGATCACTGTTCGTTATCTTCACCTTTTTTCATAGAAATGAAAAGATGAAAGTAAATATTTAATGAAGACTTCTTATCACTGCCTTGATTTACTTACATTCCTGCATCGCCTGTAGTCGTCTGAAATATAGAGATATAACTATTAACCTGTTGTTTATTCTCTTTTATTATTCTCATTTTCAGTTCAAATTATGTAATTTGCAATTAAAACATAGATACATACATGCATATATATATATATATATATATATATATATATATATATATATATATATATATATATATATATATATATATATATATATATATATATATATATATATAGTATTGGGAAGCTCAAGGGAGCAATGATTACCTACCCCTTCTTCTACAGTATCCATTCCTACAAACTTGTCCCTGTGGACATGGGATATACTGTAATAAGGAATGATTCAGTTAATTTATCATAAGTCGAGATTTCAATAATTACCACAAATAACACGTACCAAATTTATCTTATTTTTTCAAAACCATCTAATGTTACATAATAAGCATATATCTCTCGCTGTGATATTCTGTTTTATGGTATCAAGCGATATTTGGTGTTATCGCCGTGTTTAGTACACGTATCTGTATTGTAGATTTTTTTTATTAAAAGAGATGGTATGAGTATTACTTTTGCTGTTATCTTAATATATTTCCTTTATTCTTGATATTCATGATAAATGTGAAGATAAAGAACAGATTAAATGATATACAGCCTACAAAAACATGCATTGTTATAACTCGTTCAAAAATTTTACTCAAGTTTATTTTATATTTTAAAACACCTTTATTATGGTTATAAAGCTTTTAGAAAAATCGTGAGATCAAAATAAATGGTAAATGATATATTTTCAAATCTGGTCAAAGATGAATATATTAATGCTGTTTAACTTACCCTGTTGCATCTCCTGTTGTAATCTTCAATGAAATGAAACATGTCTTATAATGATTGCATAGTTTACATTATTATAAGAGTGTACGTCAAAAAGCAAAAGTTAATTTTACATATATTTCGCCATTTTTAGTATATTAGTAAACGAATTTTATTTAGGTTTATGTTTTATTCATCTTCTGAATTTTAACTGTTTTATGACTGAAATATGACTAATAACACTCAAATATAATGATATTCCCTTAACGATTATATAATTAACTATGGTAATTCGAAGTGCAAAGATGTTTCACGGAGTTGTTTATGAAACCAGAAATAAAAGGTAATATCGAACAAGATTTGTCTAGAAAACAACTGGTTTTACTGTATGTAGATAAAGTTGAAATTTCTGTTTTATTCTGTAAGTTGCTTAATCATTTCTAGCAAGACAATAACAGATTTTATATTTTATCAGATTTATGATATACACAGTGTATTACAAATTATCACTTTTATTTGATAATACTTCTTAGGTTTAATATGCGCCACATATGAACGATTGTATGATATAAAACAAACTACACACTGTCTCTAGCAAATGAAAAAAACTGTCAAGCAAGAACAAAGAATTTATTGAAGTTCCCAGAATTAATTTTAATTTATCAAGACGGTTGATAGTGTAAGAGAAATCCTTGTGTAAAATATAGCTTGAATTCTCAGAAAAATGCTTTATGCTTTTCTAAGTGGTCTTATTTCGACCTGGACTGGTTTTTTATATACATTCATTCATTAATTTAGCTTTTTATAAATTATTATTTATCTATTTTTTAAAAGTATTTTGGTCGGGATCGGATTTTTTTTATGCACGACTTTCCGAACATAAAGAGAATGGATGAAGTAATGCTTTATTTCTTCATGTTCTTTGAAAATTTTAAAGATTCTCTTAATAAAATAAACCTGCTTAAAACTTCATGAGAATTATGTAAAAACAAAGCATCATCTCTCCTCCCCCTTTCTCTCGAAAAAGGTCTATTCAGATCAATTTTGTGGAATTTTGGATTGGGCACTCTTTCAAGAAATTTTGACAGCTTAAAAGAAAATAAGATATACACATATGCACATATAAAACGTTATATACATGTACATGTATTTGTTGTCTAGTTTTGTGTTGTCTTCCTTTAATATAATTGTATCAAGTCATTTATATGATTCATTCATCTTCAACTTGCACATGTATCATAAACAAATACTAGAAGTGTAGGTATGACGAAAAATCTATCATACACTATCAAATTGGATACTTTAAGAGCAGAATATTCCTGTTGGGTTCTTTGTACATAACAAATACATCAGAATATTGCTTTATTTGTTACATAGTCATACTTAGCGATACTTTTTTTTCCCAGAGTCGCAAGTATAAATAAATATGTTTGAAGGAGAGGCACATTTTTCTTAAAATCTTTTTTGATGGTCAGGCTTACATAAAAACTATCAACATTTAAAAAACATTTCTTCGATTGCGTCCTACGTCGAGTCATTATTTCCCTTTCACCTCGAAATAAAAGTCACCAAAGAGTCTGACACATCAATATCATATCTGGATATTTTGCAAAAGAAATATATTGGTAGCAAATTAACATCTAAACTGAGAAATGAGAAACGTGATGTCTTTAACTTTTCCATAATAATTTCCTTAATTTTTGTAGCAATACACATTTTCACCAGAATATGGAGATTATATTTCCCAGCTGATTAGATACGCAAGAGCACGCTCTACGAACAGTTTCTAAAACAAGGCAAGTTATTAACAAATAAGTTGATGATACAATGATATCAAAATTATCGTTTAAAGTCAGTACTAGTATTTCGCAAATTCTATGGTTGATACGATGACCTATTTAGCAAATACAATCTATTGTTAAGTCAAATTGTGACTGGCGTTTTTTATACAAATTCTTAAGCCAATATTTTTACACTGCATTTTCTACGGATTTTTCTGTTTACCAAAACTTAAAAAGGAGTACACGTTGGGTTTCAAAGGTTTGTGTTGGCTTTGCTCACAAGTTATATTGTTTAAATGGACTTCTGAGCATAATGATTGTTTGTTATCTTCACATTTTTTTACCATATAGAAATGATTGGTAATGTTTATTTTGAAAATGTGTGAATTTAGAGTGGGGTCAATATTTTCTGTTCATTTCACAATCAAGAGGAATAGAATAAGACTGATTTGTCTTTACTATCATTCGTCTTATAAAGATGTATGTAAACGACCAGTGTGAATCCTTTGATGAGTGTGACTTTTGTTTGAAACGTGGTTACACTGAAATATGCCAGAAAAGGTGTTTCAGTTCTTTTAAGGAGAATCTAATATAAAGAAAAAATGGGTATAAGGGCAAGGACTATAGTGAAAAAGGTCAATCGGCAATCGACGTGAAACCTGAGAATGACCTGTAAGTAATCAATTTAAGGATACATAGCAAAAATTAGCTTATTATCTACAGACTGGGCATAAATAGAACTGGGTAACAGGAATCAAAATATTTCAAAGTCTAAGGGTAACTAAAAATGGGTCGATTAACCTGAAACTCAAACTTGAGTCCGTTGAAAAAAATACATTAAAATGACAAGTTTCTTTCTAGAATTGAATTTAGTTATTTACCTAGACATAAATTAAAATAACTTTTTGGGATGAATATAATAAACAGGCGTAATGATAGGAGTACCTTTACACCCACAAAACCCATGTCATGACCAGTAAATTGAAATCCTTAATTATAAAGCAAGTATAATGTATATGAAATGTTTTCAATGAACAACTCAAACTTATTTTATTTTAATCTATATTGAATTGATTTTCCCTCTTTTTCCTCCATTAAATTTCTCTGGTGTTTTTTCTTTCTTTTTCTTTTTTTTATTGAAAATAAATATACACTTACGTTCATAAGGAGCTGTTTGATTTGAAAAAAAAAAAAACTATCGCGATCTCTAATAAAGTTTTAGGTAAAAGTGAATCACATTTCTAAAACTATCAAAATGAAACCATACATGTTCAACTTAATTAAATTGATTAATTATTGAAATTAAGCCACATTATTAATATCAACAAAATTATTTGTATGCGATTCACTTGAATTATCTATTCCATGTTTTGCAATGGGAAACCTCAAATATGACCTCAAAAATTGCCAGTGTCCATATTTTGCAAAGGGAAACTCCGAATATCTGTACGACTAATGTCAAATAGGAGGTGCTTAACGACAATATGTAATAAAGATTTTCGCGAAAGTTTCAATTAATTGCATTTAGTGGTATACAAGTGGTATAAAAGGAGATAAGGATAAGGACGGCTACCCATAAATGTAACTATATCACTATGACATCACTATATACCCCAACTTTTTAAGTGGAAGTACGATAACATCGCATTATATAAAATATTTAGCAACTGTCAATTTTCTTGATCAATTTTAATTTCATATTGTAAAAATTCTTCGAAGAGTTTCCAAGATAAATTCGACACATCCTGTTTTTTTTCTTCTTCAATTTAAATACATTAACCTGCACAACTGACATTGAAACCAAATGGTAAGTAAATTTTACGATCTGCAAGTCACCCAGTATATGAATAATTTAAATTAAAATGTGGCGTGACTTAATTTATAATCAGATTAATATAATTCACTTACCCTCTATACAGTATCCATTCCTACAGACTTGTCCAGGTGGACATGGTCGATACTGTAGCGTAAAAAGATGGATATTTTAAAACAAATATTGCATATATTTTGTCAAAAAATATACTTCGACTGATTTCCAAAATATTCATTAAGGTCTATTTGGTCTTCGTTAATCTTTGCTGAACTGAGTTTTAAACAACCTTCATTCATTCCTTCATACATTTTTCAAAAGGGTTTTTAGTCCACAAAACCTTTTGATACCATTCAGTACAAATGTATTTTACTCAGTGTTTTTAAAAAATAATTTAAAAGCTTTTGATGAAGTTGAAAAAAACTCTTTTTAGCAAAATATTCCAGCATATAATATTTAAAAAAAACACCTGTAAGTTTGGGGGGTTTTTTTCATTAAAATATTTCGGCACACATCACAGCAAAATGACACACAATGTGAGAAATAGCTAAAATTGTAAGGATTTCATGTAAGTTAAATCTGTTACTCACCACTTGATCACAGTATCTTGATCCGGAACCTGTTTATGGTAATTAAACAAAAATTTACTTTCTGCACCAGTAACATTATTTAGAATCATAAAGTTGGATTTTTATTGCACACAATATTGCTACAAATAATATGAAGATCCAAACTGACTTTCCCTTCAATACTTTAAGTAGAACAGAGCAAGTAATATTAAGAAGATTATAATAAATTGTTTGCTGTATAATGTCATCCAAAGAAACACCAAAGCAAAATGAAATCTTGATCTTTGTTCACGTTTCTGTGAATACGAAATACAAGAGGCCCAAGGATGAGTTTAATACAAAACTGTAAAGGATGCGTATTGTTTTGAACATATTTTATTGACAATATGTCAAAGGGCTTGGACACAAGTTCTAAAAACCTAGATAGTCCTCTCCCAAGGATGCGTAAGAGTATACATAAAACAAAATAAACTTAAAAATGAAGCTATGTTGCCCATAAGCAAGACAAATAAGATTATCAGAGATCAACAAAATATTAGTCTGGTAGTCAGTAATAAATCTTAAAGTAGACCTATTTACTTGTCTGTATTTACTCCCATTCATCCCTATTACCACGCAGGCTAAATAAATCAATAGTACTTGAGCATTATTGTAAACCCGTCATATTCCCTCTCACATTGGCCTCTCTTGGTCTTAAACTTTGAAGAATATTTTACAAGTCTACCTGATCATTAAAAACTATGAAAGTACCTTGGTATTATAAACATTCTTGTATAATTCTCTTATTCATTTGACATTTCATTTACATTATTTACAGTGATTAATTACGATAGGTAAATAGAAATAGAATACAAATTAATAGCGCCCTGTCGAGCGTCAGAAAACTTGACCAAGTGTGCAGAATTTCAAAAATCTGGATAGTTCCCTTACTTCTTACAACTTTGCACTTCTTTTGCCTCCTAAATGACTTGGAGCAGAGGGGGAGATTTAAAAAAAAATAATGCCTTTTCACTATAGATTCAACACAGCCTCACACTCACACTAGAACCCCTGACACAAGGGCCATGAAATTCACAATTCAAGAAGAGGCATCCTTGCTCATAATAACAATGCGCTCAGATTATATGCTTAATATCTATGAGCAAAGAGTCGCCCAAGAGGCGCAGTTGTTAGAGCGTCTGCTCTAGAGTCGTGAAGTAAGGAGTTGATCCTTACATCGCGGGTTCGATTCCCACTGTGGGACGTGGAGACCGGTCCTTCGGATGAGACCGTATAACCCGAGGTCCCGTGTCGCAGTAGGTGCTGGCACAAAAAAGATCCTCACTGCTCAATGGCCGTAAGTGCCGAGTATAGGTCAAAATTTGCAGCTCTCCACCAGCAAGTGGTGGCGTCTCCATTTGAGTGAAAAATTCCGAGAGGGACGTTAAACAACATACAAACAAATAAATCTATGATCGAAGAAGATTTTCAAAGAATTCATGCATTTTCACTGTATACTCCTGCCCTACCACCAGTGCCCCTGACTTAGGGGCCAAGAAATTCAAGAACCCTTACTCATAACAACAATGCACTTAGTTTATATGCTAAATATCTAGGAACAAAGAAGAAAATTTTCAAAGAATTGATGCAATTTCACTATATAGTCCCGCCCTAATACCAGTGCCCCTGACCCAGGGGCCAAGAAATTCAGTATGTTAAAAGAGGAACCTTGCTCATTATAACCACGCACTTGGATTGCTTTCTTAAAACTCAGTGGCAGAGAAGATTTGAAAAGAATTACATTATCAATATGAAAAAGGTGATCGATCTATATATAATGAATATAAAATGAATAGAGCCCTGTTAAAGTGACCTTTAACTCGACATTTAGATATATCGTATTATCAATTAACAATTGTTACTTCCAAACATATGTCGACTCCATATATCCCAGTGAACTTGAAATAAAAGATACCAAATAGTCTGACTTATCTGTTTTATATTTGGATATTTTACTACAAAAAGACGTTAATGGTAACTTAACAAAAAAAAAGTGATGACTTTAATTTTTCTTTCGTCAACTTCCCTTAATTATATAGGAATATTCCCTTATCACCTGCATATGGAGTTAATGTCTCCCCACTTGATTCGATATGCAAGGAATGCTCTACGTATGAACAATTTCTAATGCGAGGCTAGCTATTGACAAACAAGTTGATGAAACAAGGATGTCAACAGTCTCGTTTAAAGTCAACATTTCGCAAGTTTTATGGTCGATTCAATGACTTTTTCAGCAAATACAATCTATCATTAAGTCGAATGCTGACTGACGTTTTTTATGCAAATGGTTAGGCCATTACTTACACACTCAATTGTCTACGGATTTTCAGTTTGCCTGATCATGACAATGAGCACAGGGCATATGTGACAGGTCGACAGGGGATGCTTACTCCCCCATGACACTTGATTGCACCTCTGATACTTTTAAAGTGAAATACGGAGAGGTCAGTGTTATTGTTAATCTGCTTATAGTTTGCATTGTTTGAATGGATTTTTGATCTTATTACTATTCGTTATCTCCATATTTCATGGTAAATCAATATTAAAAAAATGGTTAATTAATTACTTACCACGAGTACAGTATCCATTCCTACAGACTTGTCCCTTTGGACATGGTATATACTGTATCAACGAAAGATGGATATTTTTAAAAGAAAAAAGGCATAAATTTTAACAAACATATAAATCAACCTAATCCACAATATCTTCCGTTGTTTGTTTTGCCTTCTTTTATCTTTACTGAATTGATTTTAATCATATCAGAATTTTACATCATCCATTACTCTTATCGTTAAAAAGAAAGATTTAAATCATCGATATTAACTAAATTTATTTTCTTTTACGACATGTTATATTTTCTCTTAATCAAAGTATTTCTTAAAAGAAATGAAAAGTGTTTGATGAAGTTAAATAAAACTCTGTTCATTACGATAATTCAGCATTTAACATTGAAAAATATTACCTACAATTCTAATTTTCATTAAGATATTCTAGCAAATATCATTGGAAAATAAGACAAACAATGTGACAGATATTTCTGAGAATTTCATGTAGGTTATGATGTTACTCACCGGTGGATTACAGTATCCTGAACCGGAATCTGTTTTATAGTAAGAATTTGTTAAACAAAAAATGCACCATCAACATAATTTAGAATCATAAAGTTACATTTTTATTGACATGCTCTTGATATAATTTTATAGTGGTTTAGTAGAACAGTCAATTTCTGTTTAAAAGGTTAAAATGCGATGTTTACTCTATGAACTCATGCAAATGGTGAGGCCATAATTTACACACTGAATTGTCTACGGATTTTCCGTTTGCATGATCATGACAATGAGCACAGGGCAGATGTGACCGGTCGACAGGGGATGCTTACTCCCCCATGACACTTGATTGCACCTCTGATACTTTTAGAGTGAATTACGGAGAGGTCAGTGTTTGTTCTGCTCATAGTTTGCGTTGTTTGAATGGATTTTTGATCTTATTACTATTCACTATCTCCATATTTCATGGTAAATCAATATAAAAAAAAATGGTTAATTAATTACTTACCACGAGTACAGTATCCATTCCTACAGACTTGTCCCTTTGGACATGGTATATACTGTATCAACGAAAGATGGATATTTTTAAAAGAAAAAAGGCATAAATTTTAACAAACATATAAATCAACCTAATCCACAATATCTTCCGTTGTTTGTTTTGCCTTCTTTTATCTTTACTGAATTGATTTTAATCATATCAGAATTTTACATCAACCATTACTCTTATCGTTAAAAAGAAAGCTTTTCATCATCGATATTAACTAAATTCATTTTCTTTTACTACGTGTTATATTTTCTTTTAATCAAAGTATTTCTTGACAGAAATGAAAAGTGTTTGATGAAGTTAAATAAAACTCTGTTCATTACGATAATTCAGCATTTAACATTGAAAAATATTACCTACAATTCTAATTTTCATTAAGATATTCTAGCAAATATCATTGGAAAATAAGACAAACAATGTGACAGATATTTCTGAGAATTTCATGTAGGTTACGATGTTACTCACCGGTGGATTACAGTATCCTGAACCGGAATCTGTTTTATAGTAAGAATTTGTTAAACAAAAAATGCACCATCAACATAATTTAGAATCATAAAGTTACATTTTTATTGACATGCTCTTGATATAATTTTATAGTGGTTTAATAGAACAGCCAATTTCTGTTTAAAGGGTTAAAATGCGATGTTTACTGTATGAACTCATGCATAGAAAAATTAAAGCATAATAGTAGCTAAAAATCTTTGTACAAGATTTAATGCAAAATGAATTTCACTTCCAATTAAAATGTTTCAAATTTTCATTATAAAATAGGTATGATAACGTGATCTTAGGAGACATTTCCTTTAAAACAAAAATGAATCCTAAATATGGCTTTTATTAAAAATTATTGGACACAACACGCCACAAAATGGTACCGATTTAAATTACTTTATATAAAAATATATATAAGTGCAGATAATAGAGATAATAGTAAAGCAACACGATCAAATTAATAAAAAAAAAAAGTCATTTAAATCCTGTACTTACCTCTAACACAGCGTCCCCTTCTACACACATAACCGATTGGACAAGTTACATACTATATAACGATATAAAAATATTATTTCAAAACATCATCTCCAATGGTTTGTGGTTGGATATGAATTATTATCCAACGAGTTGTGTGTTTTTATTCCCGAGACTTGGCGATGGGATAAAAACACACAATGAGCTTGATAAAAAATCATATCTTACAACTTGGAATAAACTATGGGAAATTCTTTTTGTCTCTTGTTTTGAACAAAGCCATTTCATGTTTTACACTGTTTTATGTATGTATATCCACAATATTTGACTTGACCAATTTCACACAAAATTAAACCATTGTGACGCCACAACTGTGTTTATGAAAACATTATTCTATGAGTTTTATCCACTGTTTGTGTTAAAAATTACAAAGCAATGTAATACACAGGATGAAAGCCAGGTTTCCCAAACTTGGAAACTCGATGGAAACATATGGGAATCGTGACATCAGTAGTTTTCATATAGTTTCCATTTTATGGAAACCCCATAGTGGTTTCCACGTAGATTTCCGATATGGAAACAATCAACTTGTGGTTTCCCGGAAGTTTCCCAATATGGGAATCCGTGGAAACATGCAGTAGTGGTTTCCACGTAGATTCCCGATATGGAAGCAATCAACCTGTAGTTTCCCGCATGTTTCCCAGATATGGAAAACACTTATGCTGTGGTTTACACCTATTTCCCGGTAATAGACATTTTGGAAACGTGCTTCAAAAGAATAATAAAAAACTGTTAGTGTAATTCTGTGTAATAAAATTGAACATTCTGTGACCGTAAACCCAAATTAAATAATTTTTAACATTTTAGTCTCGGTAAAACTCATAAAGACACGTGAATTGGAATTAATAAAGAAGATTTAATGCAACTTTTAATTTTAGAAAACTTGGTGTAAACTGGTCAGATAAAATTCAATCACTGCGCTGACCCTTGTAATCGCGGGCACCTGTTCTCACCTGCCACAGGTGGAGACACGTGTCGCGAAGACACCTGCTACTGTGTATATTTTGTATATTCTATGTGATTTGAGAGGATTTTCTACCTAAGGGGAACAATGGGCTGTAGTCAAGCATGTACATACACATAGTCTCCGCAAACTCCGTTTAAATTTAGTTGATAATTGCTGGCCATTGATTTGATTCAAAAAAATAATTTAAATTATTAATAAGACCACAAAATATTGATAAAATAAGCTACTAACATTAATTTTAAGATATTCAATGAGAGAAGAAAAAAAGAATTGTATTTAATTTTCAATTTTCATTACTGATTAAAAAAGAAAATTTCCTAACCGTTTAAGAATTATATATACTTTTCTATCGGTCTAGAATAAACCTAAATTCTCGTCATGTGTTAAATCATAATTCTTTTAAAATTAAATTTGTAAGTGAATAGATAAATGAAATTAAATTTCTTAATCGGTAATTAACGATCGTCCTTGTTTGACATCAACGTAAACATCGAATACTGTAAACATAGAGAGAATTATTAAAGATATATATGGCATATCTGAGCTAAAAAATAAAAATACAAGGTTGAGTGTAAATAAATATGATATATGTTATTTACGTTCAAATTAAAATTTTCACCGATTTTGTACTTGAATAACCTCATGTTTCCTTAGTTAAATTGACTTTAAACTGTGTCTGTTATTTAAATGCAAAGTCGGTAAATAAATCGATTATTGTTTTAAATTTCTAATATCTTTGAAACTTGATAGATGTAAATTGTGTAATTTACAGGAAAGTCCTATTTTTATATAAAATAAAAAAACAAATAGAAAGATCTTTTTAATTTTAGTTAGTCTGAACTTACAAAAAATACGCCATATATGACTTTAATTATCAACTTTGTTGCCTGCTTAATTCGTAAATTGCTTATGAGAAGGATGGAGATGGATCTGTTATACAACATAACAACCAGATTACTAAATAAATGTTTTTGTGTGAAATTCTTATACAGTCCTCTACAAAGACATTGATAAGATAATACAGCAAAATAATATTCATATACAAATTTAATGAGGGTTAACTAAATAACTTGTTTTTTATTTATATCTGTACACAGACCTTGATGAAGTAAATGTCTTCATTTTCCGCATGAAATTATAATAATGTTCGTCTTAAATGCATACATGCACGTATATTTAATTGAGCCATTTTGTACACAAAGATCTAGTAAATAAAGAAAAGTCTATTATATTTATATAACATGATTTTCTTTTTCTTAAGAACAGCTTCTACAGAAGAACTGTATGCTAAGGCAATTCATTGAAGAGGGAAAAAACCAATAATTTATCAATTGTTTTACACATAGATGCTTAGAGAAAAAAAAAATTTATTTAATCGTGTATTGTGTTAAACAGAAGGTGACCCTTATAAATTTAAGCCCCCTCCCCTCCTTCAAAAAATGGAGAGAAAAGTTTCTTTCGATATTTAGGTATTATATACTGATGTGGTGATTGTCAATACTACTATATGTACAAACATTTCTTTACATACGCCGTCCATTTCTTGATTTTTATACGCCGACATGTACCATTATTTATTAAAAAAAAGTTCTTAACTAGCAAGCCTTACCACAAATTACCAGAACATAGTTATATATGAAAGATACAGGGCGGTACTGGCTAAACGGCTAAAGCCACATATATACAGCCCTTCACATCAACGAGTATACACCGGGCAAAACAAATCAGATGATCAAATATTAAAAATAAGGGAATCTTCAAGTTTCCCTGTAATTTCCTTTTATGGGACACCAGATAATTCCACCAAGTTTCCATCACACGGAAACCGCTACGCTCCAATTCCAAGTAGTTTCCTGAGTCATAGAAACTTGAGAAATCATGTGGTTTCCTCTAGTTTCCGTTCATGGGAAACCTGAGGATTCCATCCAGTTTCCCAATTCCATGGAAACCACTACGCTCCGATTCCATGTAGTTTCCTAATTATGGAAACCAGTGGAATCTTCAGGATTCCCATTACGGGAAACTACATGGAGGCTCGGGAAACTTCAGGTTTCCCGAGGTGTCCGTGGTTTGGGATACCTAATGGAATCGGAGCGTAGTAGTTTCCGTGCCACGGAATCTTGACGGAATAACCTAGCATCCCCTGTGGAAACCACTGGGAAACATTATGTAAACTTGAGGTTTCCATGTGGTTTCCATATTGTTTCCCACGACGGGAAACTGCTGATTTCACCCAGTGATAATTAAACAATTCATCAACATAAAATATACAAACATTCAAAGATGTCATCAATGCTTGCTTTTTTATGTTGCATTCCCCTGTGCTCACGCGAAGGTAAGATGGTTTTAAAAATATGTCAACTCATATCATCAAAGGCCAAGGTTAATCATTAACTTGTGGCTTAAAGTGTGTCTTGTTTTTAGTCAGCATTTCGCATATTCAATTATCGATTCAATGACCTTGTCAGCAAATACAATCTATTCTTCAATATCAAAAACAATTAGGAGTATCGTCCTTCTAAGTTTTGATCATATATTTTTGAACTTTATATAGGCTGTTTCTAAATTTTGTAAGTTATATACATCTGATTGGAATTACTTAATATATACAATAATAAAATATGATAATATATAATAATAAAATATTGTAATATTGACAAAATCCAGATGAACTTTGAATTTCCATACCCATACTGTTTTCCAAAACTTAAAAAAAATCCTTACAAGTATACGTATGAAATGTTCTATCAAGTCTCTTCTTTACTCCTCATGAAAGTTTCAATGAAGCATAAACTTCAGCATTACTGTGCAACAACATATTCGAGAATGGGATAATGAAATTTGATACTAAAATTATCCGATGAACTTTTTAGGAAAATTGAGAAAAAAATTGGCCAAAGTCAATAGCAAAATCTATAACTCTGCTCTCGATTTGTATTGTCTAAATGGACTTCGAGCTTGAATACTATTCATTATCTCCATATTTCATCCAACTGAGCTCGAAATAAAGGACAACACAGAGTCTGACTTTTTCCTATCTGGATATAACTCGATAAAGACATTAATGGAAAACTTATCTTTATGATAAATGTGGTGATTTCAACTTTTCTAACGTCAACTTCACTTAATTGTGTAGTGATATGCCATCATCTCCTGCGTATGATGTTTACATCTCCCATGGGATTCGATACGCAAGATCATGTTCTAGATACAAACATTTAGTAAACTGTGGCTGGCTACTGCCAAATAAGTTTGTGTCACAAGGGTATAAAAACCTTTAAAAATCAGCATTACATAATTTCTATGGTCGATACATTGACTTTGTTTGCAAGTTCAACATGTCATTAAATGAAATATTGACAGTTTAAAAAAACACACTGGCCATTATGTTTATACTGAGTTGTATGTGGATTACTATTTTTGTCCAATCACGACAAAAAGCAGATCAACAGAGAATGTTTACTCCTCCATGACAGCTGAGTCCGCCTTTGATTTTGTTTTTCAGGGCTGTGATCGCTTTGCTCTAATTTGACTTTTGAGCATCATTACTGTTCGTTATCTTGAACTTCACATTACATTCTTTAGCAATAATGTTATCATAAACCTTCATTATATATGTTTAACCATTTTTGACTGTTTCTTTAAAAAAAAACATTTTTTTTTTTCAATTTATAGTAACATTTGCATCATAACGTTTTTAATATTACTGTCTTTAAATTAAACAATAAATCAAACATATGTCTACTTTGAAAACTTAAATCACTTCAAAATATGATTGGAATCTTAGCATCGGTATAATCATTTTCCGTTAATCATAAATCTACAAATTGTAACTCTTTACAAGATTTTGAATCGTTTTATCAAGTTATAAATATTATTTAATAGAGGTGATGTTGAACAATTCTTCATAATTATTGACTAATTGCTTAATATATTCGTAAAATAAATGCAATTTTTCCAAAGTAAGAATCTTATTTTCCCATTCAGTAACCCGATGGTGATACATTTAATAACAGTTTTAAATATTTCTAGAAGTTATTTTTACATAACTTACCTGACAACTTTGTGATCCTGAATCTATGGAAATATAAAAACAATTATCTAATTTATTCGAAAAAAGTCGCTTTCTTAACTTCTATCAACCCTTTACAAATTCCTTTTAGTTGTAAATGAAACTTAGCCAATAAAAAGTCATTTCAATTACTTTCAGTCTTAATATTTAGTGTTAAATATTGTTCAAATGTCTAAATAGATATAGTTAAAGTGATATAGTGAAGGGTGCAATTTGAATTTGAAATTTCGAGAATCCGCGATGGATAGTCTTAACTGCAAACAGATTTTACGTATAAATGTACTTTGATGAAAATAAAATCCTATTTCAAAATGGTTTCACTTGAGCGTCTGGGCGGTAACATTGTGTTTCAAATTTCCTTGATTTAAAAGGAAAATACTTGGGATGTTCAATTAACCACATTATGTTAACTAATTGAAACAAAGTTTATACAACTCTTAGAATAAGTTTGTGTTAATCTACCTCTAGTTAAGGGCTTTGTTTAAAAAAAAATACTCAATTCCAAAAATTATTCATTTTTCTCTCCCTTTCTCTCCCTCTCCCTTTTATTATCCATCGATCGATTTCTTCGTATTTCTGCCATACCTGATGTACAATATCCCCGTCGACAGCGTTCATAGTATTCACAGTCAACATCCTACAATCATTATCAAAGAATTAACAAGAAAATGTGAAACACAACAAACATAGTCCTTTTTCAGAGACCTTTGTTATCCTCGTCAATGGTGTAACTGATAAAAATGTCGAGAGAATCCTTTCAATGTAACTTTATATTGTGGTACCTTGTATATAGAATATATTGTATAGTGTATATTTTAATGTGATATTTCAATGAAATGCATGGACTCTGATCAATATGCTTTAATGTTTTGGTATGTAGTCTTAGATGATTTTATTCATTCAGGTGAATAAAAATATATAAACTCCTCAGCTGATGAAGTCAATTTAAAAATAGTATACCCTAGGGTCAAGAACATTTGTTAGAAAGAGAATACTCCGAGGGCGGCTACTTTCATTAAAACATTTTCAAGGCAAATTGTGAACTAAAAGTATCGAAAACCCTTATTTCTTTGCTGATGGTAAAAAAGTTTATAAAGCCCTTGCACTTCATGTCCTTGCAAACTCCTATGTTAACTTAAATCTTAATTTGATGCATTGTAAAATTATTATACGTTACGCATACTTATAATTTTTCTCTCTTCGTCATGCATACTTATAATTTATTTTTTTCCCCTCTGTTTGTATTTTTGAGTTTCTCATAGAGATAATTTAAGAGAACACTAGATCCAAGCGGTAATTTGATGTTAGATGTATAATACAGACACTGATATGTACCGTGATCTTGATTTAATTATCTTAAAAGTGGTTTATGAATACAATAAAGTTTCTAATTATACATTTTAATTTCTTTTATGACTTATATTTCATTAATTTAATGAATGACACACAACAATGAAAACAAAAACAGATTAAATACTCCAGAAGGTCTGCGAGAGTATTTTTGTCTTATGTTCATTTAAGTAATTACAAAAAAATATCAAAATAACAGAACGAAATATTTATTGCTCTTACCCTGTAACATTGCCTGTGATCTTCTTGAGCACTCACAAAGGATCCCAGCACTACCACGATACTCAGGTACAATAACATCTTGGTACTATTAATGGGAAAGGTTAATGATAAAGAAACTGGACCAAGCATAAATATTTTTATTTCTTTAAAAAAAGATGTTAAAGGGAGAAAATCCAAAATTGCAAATTAAACTTAGACTTAACGGAACGATTCATGAAGATGGGATTATATTTATTGAAAAGTTGATAAAGGTTTTTTTTTATTTCATCAAAGGCATATGGCTACTTAAAGCCACAGCAAAGATGGTTTCACTAAATATTGGATACTGTTTCAATAATTGTACATTTAATTTTTGTTAATCATGTTAATTGGAAATATATCCAATTTATACGCCAACAAAGATACTGTGACTACTAATATTATGAAACAGGAAACAAGCTAATATGCTAGAAAGTAAAAAGAAAATATGATACATCAATAACAAAATATTTACGATTTACACAAAAATTCAGTAACAATGAAGTTCAATTTTTATACAATAATATATACAGTAATAATAATGATTAAAACAAGATCCTTATCTTTTTGTGCTACGTAATATAAAATGCAAAATAAATGTAACAGTTTAAATTGTATTTCTAGGTAACTTTAAAAAACAATAAAACAAACTTTACCTTACTGTAGATCCTACAAACTTTACGAAATGGTAAGTTTAACTCTTTATATATAAGTGTGTGTTACTAATTTTATTACATAATAAGACAAAAAAAGAATTGTTCCAATTAATGATTTGATAAATTGTGAGTTGAACAGAACATGTTAAATAAAGTATTTAATCTTAATTTGTTGAGGTTTTGTTTGTACATGCTTTGATTGCAAAATTTCAATCGAATCATTTCCTTTTTTCGAGGACAATACAATTGAACACAAATTTATAAAGCAGCGACAACCAATGTCTTTGATTTAATTTGAAGGTAGAAAAGTACACTATTTTATGCAAAAGATACATATATATTTGCGCCCATTGTCAAAAAAAATTTGGACAGGTGGCACCTTTAAGGTGTCCACGGGTTTGACACTTAAAACAAAAGTCGTCATTTTTTTTTCATATTTTGCATGTTTTAAAATTAGTTATTTTCAAATTATGTATTCAATGTTTTGCACCTTATTTATGAGATATTGATTAATAAATATCACTCTCTATAGTGTTTTTATGAATGAAATGATTCTTCATGTTAAAAGGTCCGCTCTTTCTCTATAATCTACAAGTTCTTTTTTTTTGTAACACACTTGCCACTTAGCTAAGTCAGTTATACGAGCCTGTTATAGATATTTTATTCAGACTCAAATACTTACTGATGAAATCAGTTCTGCTTTCAAATTTTCTTTGACCTTGATTTTATATTATTTTTGCATTTTACCTCAGTTTTCGAGAATGTATTTAAAACATTTCAACAAACTTTATACAAGGATAAATTAGACGATTTAAAATTTTGTGACCTTGGTATTTCCTTTTGACCTTTTATTCTGCATTTATTGATTTCTTTAGGTTGCTCATTTCCTATAAGAAATTTCTTTCTTCAAATTTGAACTCAGATACTCTTTAAGTGCACTACAAGTTTGTCATAATTGTTGAGTTTGACCTCAATATTTCTTTTATGCATTATGCAGTCAATTGGAGTACCAATATTCAAATTCGTACATATATGAATCTCAAGCACAAAACGATTGAACGTGCCCTAAGTTACCTTGTTTCTTCTTCTGACATTGATATAATCATATTCTGAAATGCTCTAACGGATCTACGTACATGTCTTTCCTCAGATTCATCTTGTTGAAACATTTCAATCATGCTTAAGTTTTATTTATCTTGCTTTCCTCTTTTAGTCTGACATATCTTGATTGTGCACAACAGACATAGCCCACAGCACAGCCTCTATGCCCTTAAGACATATATCTTGTTATGTGTGTTTCTGTAAAAATACATCATTTGTTTAACGACTCGTGTATAATATATCTCTTCACAAATTTAATAGAGTAAATATCTTCTAAATTAAACATTAATTCTCTTTTATGTACATTTGTTTACACATACGTATACTATCTTACTTTCATTGAAACTTTTAAGGTTTTATTTAAGCACTCTTTAGAGTAAATTGTATAACGTTAATCTTTTTTCCTTCTTGATTTTAAATATCAAACATTTTGAGATGTTTCATTTCAATACAAAACCAAATCATCAAAACATCTATTGGTTTTATTTCTGCATTCATAGAAAATATGAATTTAACGTAAATACCAGGAGGAGCTTATCTTTGATTATCAATTTAGAATGTTATTTTTCACAACAATTTATGTTGGACAAATGAACTTTTTTATTCAACTTTACAGTTTTTTCTCCCAAATTTACAAATGAAAATCAATTAGGAAAAATCTTAAAGAAAAATTATTTAGAATAATCGTATATCATTTTCTTATTTTTTTCCTCATACATCTGTTAATAAGATGTTCATTTCTTTTATAATCAAGTTTTCAATTTAAGGTATGTCACTCGTCAGCCTTTTAGAAAAGTTCAGTCAGAACCTCTAACTTAAAAACTATTTATTACAATTCAATCTTTATAACATATTTAAATTAAACAATGTAAAATGTTCAACATTCAATTAAAAAACTGCTCAAAAATTCATAAAGAAACAAGATTTATAAGGGACTATTTCTTGTGGTGGAAGGATATTTAGCAGAAATTTCCGCAAATCTACACATTTATTATATTTAATATCTTGGAACTTTAGCCTCACATACTTTTACTCAGAGAATATATTCCGTTATGATATGCCTGGAATATTAAATATAAGTCTCCATTTATATTTTTATAACAAAATTTACACCTTTGCTCAACAAATTTTGCCAAGAAATGAAGATATATTAAAGAAGTCAAGCTAAAATTCAAACAATTTTTTGCCAGAAAATAGCATATTTTGACCAATATTTCAAAACATACATCACTGAGCCCAACTTTTTCTTTCATTATTTTAAACTACTCGATACTTTTGACCGATCAGCACTTAAGTCGTAAAAAGTTTGATACAAGAAAATATTCTATTGCCTATTTAAATTTTTAATACCCCAAATATGAGATTTTTTTAGTGCAAAAAGGTCACACAATAATTCATGCGCATTAATTTGCATGATTTGTTCAATGATAAATATTATTCAAACTATTTTGCGTAAATTAAGATTATGTTTATTGCCCTGGTTACATCTGATAAAATATGATAACGGTTAAAGTGATTAACCAAAGAGTTACAATTTAAGTGCAAAAAGGTCAACTTAATTGTACCGTAGCTCAGTTAGATGCACACTGACACCCCATTTTCTCTGCGATTTTGAGTCATACTATGTGAGTACTTATCCAAAATATACTTCTTAAAAAAATCCTTGATATAAGAAATTTCACGAGTGACATACCTTAACATTTCGTTCATTTCAAACAAATTCTATTAACAAGACAGTATACACATAACTAGACTAAATTGATCTTTTTAATTCACCTCAAACCCAATCCTTGTTCTATATAGGTCAATCCTCGCTACATCGTTTGACCAGGACCACCTTCACATAATTCTCCTCGCTACATCGTTTGACCAGGTCCACCTTCACATAATTCTCCTCGCTATATCTTTTGACCAGGACCACTTTTACATAATTCTCCTCGCTACATCGTTTGACCAGGTCCACCTTCACATAATTCTCCTCGCTACATCGTTTGACCAGGATCACCTTCACATAATTCTCCTCGCTATATCTTTTGACCAGGACCACTTTTACATAATTCTCTTCGCTACATCGTTTGACCAGGATCACTTACATAATTCTCCTCGCTACATCGTTTGAATAGGACCACTTTTACATAATTCTTCTCGCTACATCGTTGGACCAGGATCACCTTTCCATAATTCTGCCTCGCTACATCGTTTGACCGGGATCACCTTCCCATAATTCTAACTGATTTTTGGGGGTCTTCTCACTGTCTGATGACAGTTTGTCCGTCGTCTTGTCCGTCATTCAGTAAACTTGCCTTTTTCTAATTTCTTCTCCATATAAACTGGGATTGTTTCAACAAATTTGTCAGTAAAACCATCCATACAAGCTTGGGGTTTTTAAAGAACGTCTGAACACTTTGTAAAAAGATTACTTTAACCTTGGTATCAAGCTGAAGGACTTTTTTTTTCATTCATATATGTTCTTCGTCAGCAGATTTCTTCTCCTATATATTCATATGTAAAGCTTTGATCGCATGTTCTAGGCATACCCTACCCCCAGGTGCCATGTTTTGAATGAAATTGAAGCTAAACTTTCTGAGGATGCTACTATTTTCATATAACTAATCATGGTTTTGCTGTTTTTGAAAACGGAATTTTAATATGTCTGCCACCCTACCCTAGGGTTGGTGGGGGGGGGGGGGGTGGCGGGGATCATGATTTGAACTAATTTGAATCTACACTACCTGAGGATGCTTCCACATCAATATGACTAATCATGGCTTTGCTGTTCTTGAGAAGAAAATAAGAAAATTTTCAGAGATGTTTACTATATAAATATATTCTTTTGTTAAACTTTGATTCCCCATTATGGCCCCACCCTATTACTGGAGGATGAACAAACTTGAATCTACAATACTTGGGGATGCTTCAATATCAATATGACTTATCATGGCTTTCCTGTTCTTGAAAAGATTTTTAAAGATTTTTCTTAAATATTCCTATGTAAAACTTTGATCCTCATTGACGCCCCATCCTACCCCCGAGGGTCATAATTTGAACAAACTTGAATCTACACTACCTGAGGTATTCTATATCAATATGACTTATTGTGGCTCTGTTGTTCTTGAGAAGAAGATTTTTAAAGATTTTTCCTATATATTTCTATGTAAAATTTTGATCCTCCACAGTGGCCCCACCCTACCACCGGGTGTCATGATTTGAATAAATTTGAATCTTCACTACCTGAGGATGCTTCGCTATAAATATGACTCACCATGGCTTTGCTTTTCTTGAGAAGAAGCTTTTTAAAGAATTTTCTTATAT